CTATGTGGTTTCTCAAAAAAAAAATGAAAAAAAAAGAGCTCTATGCGCGCCGTGCGTCGTCCGTGTGCATGCATGCATGTGACCATTATTGTATAAAAAATGCTCACACTGTTTGCAGCGGCCAACTATTCTGTGTTCGGGCGGCTAGCGCGGGGTAACTTTAGTGTGAAGCTCGAGGTTCAAATCCCCACTTCCCCAGAATTTTATTCTCCTCATTTCTCCTTCATTCACTGACAAGTAGGTCCCACATGAGGAAAAGAGGGCGTGTTTGACCAGTCAGCACAAATACGAAGCTATACGGCGGGTCAGTGACCGTATAATCACCTTAACTTGTATATAGTGACCGTATTGACCGACTTTCTATGTAGGATAACCAAAGTGAACTCGCAGTACAAGTTCGAGTACCGTGAGTGAATTTTACTCTATTCTAAAAGTAATGTTTGACTAACAATTAACTTAACTGCTTGTCTCACAGCCAAAAAAAAGTTAACTTCTTTGTCAAGCTTGAATTTTGAAATAGCTGCATGTAGTAGATGTATTGGGAACATAAAAAGTAGTACTAGTATAAAAGATATTAATGGTCGGTCAAATTTGTGCTGTGTTTTTTGGGAGTCTCACTAATTGAAAGCTTTGCCACCCGAGACAGCTGAGTGGGTGCTGATTGGTACTCCTATGCATTGTCGAAGGTGCTGGTGATGGAATGCTAGAAGCTGCCGAGTATGGAAATACTAGTATGCAAGCTACTACATTGTCCACGTTGAAGGAGAACGGGCCTCTTGATACAACTACGATGCAGAATTGCACTACAATGGCAGTACCATTCCCAAGTAATTACATTCTTCTCTATCCCATTTTCTGTTAAGTTGTGTGTTGAAAATAGTACATATTAAACCACCATTGCAACATCAATCGCTGTTTTCAATTAACAATGGCACCATGATAGAGATAAGAAGTTGATACATTGCTGCAGGCCCCACTTCGACGGCTCATCCACCTTCATTACAGCCAGACCAGATTGAAAAAGGGCCCTCTACTCAGTCCAGAAATACTATGACAGGTACCACTGCAACACCATCCTCGGTTGCGGAAAAGGGTCTTGTTGATATCACTGCAACACAGAATTCCCCAACAACAACACTACCATTCCCAAGTAATTACTCTCTTCTCTATCACATTCTTTGTTAAGTTGTGTGATCATCATGAAAATGTTGCATATCAACCAATTATTGCATCATCAATCCCTATTGTGAATTAACAAAGACAGCATGATAGAGATAAGTTGATATCACTACAGGTCCCACTTTGATGACTCCGAAGGCTCTCACATTTAAAAGAGATAATGGAATGCCGCTAAGGAAGTACGGGAGACGTCCTACGAAGAAGAACTACCATACCGAAACACCTAGGAGAAGTCCTAGGCTCGACCAGACTCGTAAAGGTAGTAAAAAGCTGTTGTAGAGCTTGCAGTCGAGTGCAAGAGGTGCCGTAGCATCGAGCCAGCAGAAGAATCAACTGCCTCAACAAGCAATAACGAGTCTTCAAAAGAGCCTATCGGTTTGCGTTGCAAACTAAGCTAGGTTGTCAACTGGTCACTGGATATGATCCCCCATGAAACTATTTTGATGTTGTTGGTCTAGTTTGCCTCCTGTGTCCTTATAAACCACTGTTGTCGCATTTTTAGTGAACAAAATTTGTATGTGTGACGCTGCTAGCGCTGCGCCGTCTATCTCAGGAATATTTTTCCTTTTGTCCTGGACAACTTGGGTACCTCGTGAAGTTATGGTATTAAGGTTTTACCTATGTGTGTTAGTCATTAAACTTTTAGAGATTGTAGAAATGTAGGTTATCAGATAATGTAGGCAGATGACATCCATCTTTCTGTTGCATACAATGCAAGTGATGGTTTGGTTAAGCTGCTCTTGATTTGCATGTCCATTTCTGCAATAGAATCTCTTTCCAAGCTGATACTTCCAGTAAATGTCACAAAAAAGAGTGCGAACATGTTTTGGATGCGCATTATCAGGTGGTATTTTCAATAAACTTTGGGAAGGCACAAAGCCTCCGCAGTTCGAAAAAAAACCCTCTGTAGTTTGGGACTTCAGAAACTAAGTAGCTGAAAATTGTCGCAACCTGTGACGTAACCAATTAACAGGTTGGAGGTTGAAACTAATGGACTGAATGTGTGAGGCCCACTGCATTGTGAAAAACTTCAAAAAAAAAATTATGTTTTCGTATGTCAAAGCTACATTTTACTTGTGTTCACAGATGAATTTACAACCAAAGTCGAAGCTTATATCTTACGCTATGCTGGACACAAATGTTGTTGATCATTTTCTTTTTCGAAAAGGGGATGACCCTGGTCTCTGCATCGTGTGATGCAGACAACCATTTTATTAACACAAAGTTTCTTCCTAGCCCGACCTCCACGGTACCTACTATCTGGCCCGTTGGTCTGCTTCGAGATTTGTGCTGAAAAGGAGCATCACGGGCGCCAGCTGTTCCCTGTAGTGTCATTAGCAGGTGCGGACTGCATGCAGTTACTGACCTGTGCTCTCTATGTGGACCAGCCCTCTCTCTGCTGTCCGCATGCAGGCACTGTAGCCACGTGAGGTTGCCAGTAATTGAAGTAGAGAGAGAGAGTCTGCGCATGCAAAATTGAGAGAGAGAACGTAGTTGTGCAATTGTTTTTTCAGAAGATTTTAACTTCAGCGTGCGACCTCAAACGGACGTCTAGTTTGGTCGGATTTTGTTCCTTTGGGGCGCCGATGGGTTCGCCCATGTCCGCGTTTGTCCGATGGATTGTGGGTGCGCCTAACGCGCGGCCGCACCCCAAAACCTGTCCGGGGTGGACGTGAATAAAAAAAGTTTAAAAACTAAATGAAATGACTAAAAAAGTAAATAAACTTAGTTAAAAAAACATAAAACATATATATAGGGGTTACGGCCACAAAACGGCCCAGTTTATCAGTCCACCTAAACGGCCAAGTTCGTAATTAACATAAAACAAAAAAGAAAATGCCTCCCGCGCGCTCCTGCTCCTGCCGCGCCCATCGATGCCGTGGCCGACGCCGCTCACTGGCCGCCGGTGTCATCGTCGTCGCTGACCAGGTCGACGTAGGCCGGCGGCGTCCAGAGGTGGGCCGGCGGTGCGTGGTAGACGGGGGCGGGCTGGACGGCGGGAGGTGCCTGCACCACCTCCACCCGCGGCGACGCCTCCCGCTCCGGTGACCGCGGCGGCGTGGGGCGCCAGTTCACGCCCACGGCGTCGGCCATCTCTTCTGCCGTGCACGACCAGCCCCACCCCTGGCCAACCAGGGCCGGGTGGAATGCGGCCACCGGCGGCTCCTCCACCACCTCCTCCTTCGCCACCATCTCGAGCTCGGGGATGGCGACCTCGCCGGCGGCGAAGCGGGCCATCATCTCCTCGAGGCCCTCCCACTGGCGCTCGTCGTGCGTGCGCATGGAGTCCTCCATGACGCGCGCAACGAGACGGGCCTCCTCCTCCTCCGTCATGCGAGGAGGTGGTGGTGACGATGGAGACGGCGAAGGCGACGGCGTGGGCGTGACGCCGCGCACCCGCCTACGCCCGCGCTCCTGGGGAGCAGGCGCTGCGCGCTCCTGTCGTGGCCGACGCGTCCCCGTCGAGGTGCCAGAGAAGAACGACGCGCGCCTGGTGTCGTGCTCGTCATGAAACCAGGTGCCCTAGAGCCCGGAGTCGGGGGCGTACCTGGCGTCGTAGAAGAGGTCGTAGGGGAGGAGGCGGCGGCGGCGCTCGATCTCCTCGTCGCGCGCACGACCGCTCGTCGGGACCGGCGGGATGGGGACCCGGTCGGCGGAGAGATGTCAGTTATTGGGGAGATGGACGTCGCTCCAGGGGAGCGGCGTCCTCGTCTCCCAATAACGGCGGCACACCGACGCGCGGATGTAATGCCGGTCGCGCTCGCCGGCGGACGTGGGCGCGATGGAGAAGGCGGGCGGCGCGGGGGCCCGGCGTGGTGGCGATGGCGACGCGGGCTCCTCTTTCTTCACCGAGCCGCGACGGCGCCCCGACGAGGAACCAGCCTCGCCGTCGTGCTTGCCTTTCCGGCTGTAGTTCCAGAGGCCCATGGCTGCGGGCGGCCGGCCGGCGAGTTTCTTGGCTAGGGTTTGGGAGCAGGCGCTGTCGAGTTTCGAGGAAGCCGCGGGGTGGCGTGGGGCAGTGTGGACGACGACCCGTCCACGCTTCCCACTTAAAGAAGGACGGCGACCGTTCGACGTGCGGATGACAGGTGGGGCCGCCCGCTCGTGCGCATTGATGTTGGCGGGTGGGAGGTAGGTGGCCGCCTGCCACGCGGCCCCGACGCGAACGAGGCGCGCGTCCGTTTGGTGTCCTCCGCGACCCAAACCCGATGCAAGTTTGCGCTTAAAATGGGTCGGCCCGGACACAAAACGGACAGGATGGGTCCCGTCCGTCGCGCGCTGGGCCGCCTCGTTTGTCCCTTTGCCCCCCAAACGGACAGGGCCGGACAGGATAGGGTCGCGCGGTGGAGTTGGCCTTAAAGAGAGAGAGAGGTATGCACGGGATGATAGAGAGAGGAGAGCATAAAGGCAGAGAGAAAAGATGGGCATGCAAGGGATGACACAGGAACAGTCTGTGGAAGTCAGAGGCATATGCAAATGCAATGTCATAAACAGTAGTAGCCCCAAACGAGGCATGGCAGCGATGCAACTAAGCTAACACATGCAAGATATATATTCTTCTTCTCTTTAATCTTGTTTGTTTAGGCAGAGGAACAGTATCCAACAATATATGTTATAGGACGTACGCTCGTGCTAATTTATTCCCGAAATAGTACGTCGCTTTCCGTCAACGACAACCATATATTGACAAATTGACAAAAGGAGAAGAGCTTCGTTTGTGTGAGAGAAAAGTATGAGAATTTTTTATCTGGCATGTACTGTAGCCATGCAATTGCGGTGTCAGAATCGATACTGAGCTAGCCAGCCATTCAGTTTTTTACTCATGTGGTTACTGTTGAGGTAGGCCTGCAATCCTTGTTGTAGTTGTATCTGGCACGAATCTTCACGCACCGGAGCCTCATTTGGACGGTTATGATAGTGGGTGCCGTATAGCTCGTCCTACAAAAAAACTTTTATTAAACATAACAGATTAAAGTCACTGAGTACCAAAAGGTTTACATCAAAACGTACGACGATTTATGTGAACCATGAATACAAACTTTGAAAGAAGGATGATCCTCTGTCCCCAGTTTGATACACAATAACATACAACTTGGCCCGTCTCTGATGACTCTTTGAAATGTGACTTTGTCCACATTATCACCTTCGGTCTGAATTTTAGGGTTCTTTGAGCATCGGGTCCAGCCTGCTCACAGAAAAAAAATGATCTCAGATACAAAAATGAAAAATGATGTTAGTTTTTCAGAAGGATACATTTACATGCATCTTACTCATGGAATTCTAAGAAAAATGATTTACGGAAGCTCCTTTCATATGGACAAAACAGTGAACAACCTGAACATGAACAATACGATTCACAAAATGAATAATTTGCCATACATACTCGGCTGCAGGTTATAAAGAAAAGAATAAATCCTGGTGCAGGATCTTCAGATTTCAATTGGTTGCACTTCACTCGGATCAAATACAAACCAGGTTCTGCGTTACTACTATTTAGGCCTTTGTTCAGAACAAAAGGTGAAGGTATATTCATATTAATCATCCATACCCAGTAGTAATCCTTCCCTGCTTAGCTGCATTACTAGTTTACTACTGAACTTGTTACCATAATCTTGATTGGTTAGGTTGATTGGCTTGTACATGTGTGGTTTGGACTTGCAGCGTGTGTCCATGATCTAGAAGGTTTGCTACTTTCTAACCATACATTCATACTAATCATCTAGTTTAGCATGCACTAATCATACATTAAATATGGATAACATTTCCACAAAAGAAATATGGATAACAGGAACGAGATCAAACACATACTTCACTGCATCCTCCTCGGCACCCTAGCATGTGGTGTAGTTGACTTGGGAGCGATGGCGGCGGGTGGGATCAAATCGATCCGGACACTGAGTGTGACCGTGTCGCCGGAGAGCAGCTGCTGGGGCGCCACCAAGAACATTACCTGGCCCAACCCCGGTGCACCCATGGACAGCGCGTTGCTGCTCACTGGCGAGAGGTCATGAGGACTAGGTTGTAGTCTTTGTCGCCGCCACGGCGCTCCATGGAGAGCTTGCACCAGAACCGGGGCCCCGTCTCGGCCTCGCCGTCCGGCCTGATGCACATCAATGACACGGCGGTGCCCTCACCGAGCGGGCGGAGGGAGACGAGGAACACGTTGCAGTCCTCCTCCTCGACGAGCAGGTGCCAGCCGTGCGACAGGGAGAAGCTCAGGCTCCAAGACCGGCCGTAACGGACCGTGACGGCCGGGCGCTGGTGGTCGGTGGCGAAGTGGTCGACCAGCATCAGCATTGCGCGGGAGCCCACGAAGGCACCTGCAGACTCCGGGCAGGTGCAGGGTGCGCACTGGCACACGCACGCGGATGGTCCGCGGCCTCATGGAACACCACGTAGCGCTTGCAGCCGAACGCCTTGTAGGGGCATGGCACCTTGGCGGCGCCAACCACCTTGTCCAGCTGGCCGCAGTGGGTGTTGGCACGACTGCAAACGGTGCGGTGCCCGGCACGACAGTAGTAGCACACTACGTGCCCTACGGCATCGGACTGTCACATTAAACGCAACAGCACCCAAGTCATCAGCTTCCAGGCCTCGTTTCTCACTTGCAAGTTTGTTTTAACAGAGGGCCAATTCCATTTCCCCCTAACTTTGGCCCGACCTCATTTTTACCCCCTAATTAAAAACGATGCTCAACTATATCCCTCTTCCGTTAGATGGTGTTATGAAAATACCCCGGTCAAACAGGTTTGACAATCTTCTAGATGTTTTCTGGACATGGTTGCCCATGTGTGCATTGCCACTGACATGTGGGACTATCGTTGGAAAAAGACTCTCCATATGTGACCTACATGTGGGACAAGCTCATAGTAGATGACAAGTGGGACCCGGCCTGAAAGTCACATGGGCCCATGTTTGGTGCTTTGATATTTTTGTAACTAGCTTAACAAATTATTTGGAGGGTGGCCCAACTGATAGAGGCTGATTGGGACAGTGTTAAGTTAATAGGTAATTAATCTAAGTTAATTAGGTCACACAGGGGTCCCACCTAGCTAATAGGAAATTAACTAGGGGAGGGTGAAATAATAGAAGAGAGGGGAGGGTGAAGACCGAAGAGGAAAACTGGGGCTGCCATTGCGGCAATGTTGGAGCCAGCAGAGCATACCCCAAAAGGAAAGGTAGCTGCCAATAATTTTAGCATGCCGATAATGTTCGTTTTGACTGTTCAAAGAACTGATCTTTAAAGTATTGCTATGTAGGTGGAGTTTTTATTTGGGATAATATAACTTTGGGATCCACTTCAGTACACCCCCTCTAATAAAATCAACGCTTGAGATTAAGATGTGCCTCTTCGGACGAGAGGGTATGATGGTCTAGTTAAAATATAATTATTGCTTTACAAAACTCACAATATGGGATATGATCTTCCTAAATTAGTAGATGTAATGTGGCTTGACAAATTGTGTTCTTAGTCATAGAACTTGTCGTGCCGGAACAATATAGTTCACAAACATATCATTCACCAAACCTCACAACTAATCTAATTTCGTCGAACTCGGTCAAGTTGAACGGTGGTGGCGGCAAGATTGACATGCCGTTCAGACTATGGTGATCTTATGTCATACTCCCCCCCTTCCAATGAATAAGGCAAGGCGTGCACGCTTTCCCAAATTCAACTTTGATCTTAAATTAAGTCAAATATATATATATATATATATATATATATATATATATATATATATATATATATATATATATATATATATATATATATACTTTCGACTTGAAAATTATACCACTGAAAACTTCTTTTTAAAACAAATTCAACGGTATAATTTGATCATATATCATCTATATTTGGTTGGTCTAATCTATGGCCAAAGTTGAATTTGGTATGCGTGCACATCTTGTTGATTGGAATGGAGGGAGTAGGATTCAGCATGTGTACCTACTAGGCTACTACCTAGGCACGGTGATACACAGGATGGGCAAAGCCGACGCAGGCAGGCAGGAGACATTAACTAAACACTCTGAAGAGCAGCGGTGGATTTTGGAATGGCCTAGTTGGAGGCTTGGACCAACGGAGAGATTTAGTACCCATGCCTGTAAAAGCTAGGCTGGAGAGTTTGCAGCTGGGACCAATCGTCAAGCCAATCACCGGGATTACAACAACCACACATGCTATGGAATACAAACTATAAAGTATTTCAACATCCCCTGTCAATCAGAACTTATCTAAGTTGAGATTGCCTAAATGCTTCTTACTGTCGTACTGTCAATGGTTTTGTTGTTAAAATATATTGCCCACCTTCCTCCATTAGTTCGGACTTTTGGATGAGTTGGCTGGTGCATGAATTCAATATGGTATCAGAGCCAAGAGGTCTTGAGTTCAAGACCCTGCCAACGCAGTATTAAATAAAACGATTCTGCGGCCTACATCGATCCCACGTCTAAGGACTAAAATAGCCTAGACGTGAGGGGGAGTGTTGAAATATATTGCCCACCTCCCTCCTCTCTACACCGTCTCCGCCGCCGCCAACCCGTCATCTACTTTTGGACTCCTCGCATCATCCGACTCCACTGAGCTATGGCATCGTCGATTAGGTCATCCAGGTCGTGACGCTATGTCACATTTATCAAAATAGTTTGCTATTCCTTGTAATAATGTAGCCGTTTCAGTCTGCCATGCGTGTCAACTTGGCAAGCATGTTCGTTTGCCGTTTTCTAGGTCTAAAACTTTTAGTGTGGTGCCTTTTCAGTTAATTCACTGTGATTTGTGGACATCTCCTATTCCGAGTAATTATGGTTTAAAATACTATCTTGTTATTGTCGATGATTACTCCCACTACATGTGGACATTTCCTCTCCGCCATAAGTCAGATGCAACCACTGTGATTACTAACTTTGTGGCATTTGCACGCACACAGTTTGACCTTCCCGTTGTTGCCATGCAAGCCGACAATGGCACTGAGTTTGTCAACTCCACATTGTCCACCTTCTTTACTGGTCACGACATCCATCTTCGCCTTTCATGTCCCTACACATCTCCACAAAATGGAAAAGCCGAGCGTGCTCTTCGCACCCTCAATGATATTACTCGTACACTTCTCTTCCAAGCCCACATGCCCTCCTCTTATTGGGCTGAAGCTCTTGCTGCTGCTACCTATCTTCTAAACCGACGACCTTCTCAGCCTATTGGGTTTTCCATCCCATACGAGCTTCTTTATCGCATGCCCGCTTCCTATGCCGAGCTACGTGTTTTCGGATGCCTTTGCTACCCAAACCAATCTGCCACAGCAAAACACAAATTATGCCCTCGCTCCACTGCATGTGTTTTTCTTGGATACCCCTCCTCACATCGTGGCTATCGTTGTCTTGATCTTTCAAGTCAGCGTATAATCACTTCTCGTCATGTCATTTTCGACGAACATACATTTCCGTTTGCTAGTATTAACCCTGCTCCTTCCGCTACATCTCTCGACTTTCTTCTGGATTTAGTAGCCACCGAGCCACCTCCATTCACTCCTTCCCTCACGCATGCTCCTGTTGCACCACATGCACGTACTACTGATCCACGTACTACTGCATGTCCTAGCTCAGGTGCTAGTTCCTGTCCTAGCTCGCCCATGCATCAGCCACACTCACCAGCACCTGATTCTCCTCCTATGCATGCCTCGCCTACCTCGGCCAACTCTCCCGCACCTGTCGCTTCGCCGGCGCAAGCTGCTGCACCAGAAACCCAGCCAAAAACCCAACGTGGACGTACTGTCTCTCGCACCGAACCAGCCACCAACACACACCATATGCTGACACGCCTCAAGCATGGCATTGTCCAACCGGTTGATCGCCTTAATCTTTCGGCTGTTCACACCTCCATTTCTCCTATTCCTAAAACATACCGGGGTGCCCTCCATGATCCTAACTCGCGTAGTGCAATGGCTGATGAATATAATGCACTAATTCATAATCGCACATGGACCCTGGTTCCTTGTCCGATTGGTGCTAATGTTGTTTCAGGTAAATGGATCTTCAAGCATAAGTTCGCATCTGATGGTGGCCTTGCTCGCTACAAGACTCGATGGATGGTTCGTGGCTTTTCTCAGCAGCCGGGCGTCGACTTCGACGAGACATTTAGCCCCGTCGTCAAGCCCGCCACCATCCGTGTCGTCCTCACCATCGCGGCTTCTCGTGGCTGGCCGGTTCACCAACTCGATGTCAAAAATGCCTTTCTCCATGGCACAATTGACGAGGTGGTGTACTGTGAGCAGCCCCCTGGCTTCATCGACTCGGCTCGTCCTCATCACGTGTGTCGCCTTCACAAGTCGCTCTACGGTCTCAAGCAGGCTCCAAGGGCATGGTACCAACGCTTCGCCCACTATGCTCATCGCCTCGGCTTCGTCGCATCTCTTTGTGATGCTTCTCTCTTCATACTTCGACAAGGCGATGAGCTTGCGTACCTACTGTTGTACGTTGATGACATCATCCTCACAGCTTCGAGTTCGGATCTACTACAGCACATCACCGACCTGCTTCACCGCGAGTTCTCTATGACGGATCTCGGGGATCTATCCTATTTCCTCGGGATTTCGGTCTCTCGCTCGTCATCGGGGATGTTTTTATCCCAACGCCAGTACGCCATCGACCTTCTTCACCGTGCCGGCATGCTTGATTGCAACCCGTGTGCCACCCCCATCGACACTCGTTGCAAGCTCTCCGCCGATGAGGGTCCTCTCGTTGACGATCCCACGAAGTACCGCAGTTTTGCCGGTGCACTTCAGTACTTGACACTGACACGTCCTGACATAGCTCACGCTGTGCAACAGGCATGTTTGTACATGCATGCACCATGGGAGCCGCATCTAAACCTTGTAAAGAGGATTCTTCGCTATGTCAAGGGCACATTGGATCTTGGTCTTCGCCTCCACTCGACACCGGCTACGTCTCTCACGGCCTACTCCGACGCTGACTGGGCAGGTTGTCCCGACACTCGTCGCTCCACTTCTGGCTACTGTGTTTACCTTGGGGATAACCTTGTGTCATGGTCTTCCAAGCGCCAGGCTACAGTCTCCCACTCCAGTGCCGAGGCAGAGTATCGCGCAGTGGCCCATGCTGTAGCTGAGTGTTGTTGGCTCCGCCAGCTTCTTCATGAGCTTCATCGACCCCTCCACTCCGCGACCATCGTCTTTTGCGACAATGTCAGTGCTGTCTACATGGCCTCCAACCCTGTGCAACATCGCCGCACGAAGCATATTGAGATTGACATCCATTTTGTTCGTGAAAAGGTGTCTCTCGGGCAG